TTTCCATGTACGAACTCAGTGTTTAGCTCAGGCTCGGGAGGAGGCAAAAATCGTTTTGTGTTGTTTCGTGCGCATTATCACCATCCAACATGTATTAGCAAGATTTTTGTGAAACATGTTTTTTTTTTTTATACATCTTCTTATTAAATCTAAAATAAATTCAAAATCTCTCGAGAATTTACATTCTTTTCAGGTAAAAATATATGTGTTATTTAAACAAACAGGGTATCTACAAAAAAAAAAAAGATATTTCTTTCTTATTGTTGTCAGAACATGTATAATTAAGAACTATTATTATAGTTATAAAAGAAACTAAAAAGTTTGGGTTTTCAGTTCTTGATTTAGCGTGCATTTTCTTACATTTTACTCTTCATGTCGCTAGTCATAGTTAATTTTTTACTTTCAAGGTACTTGAAAGTTTTCACTAATTTTATCATTGACGATGGTTTTCTATGTTAAGATCCATTTCTATTTGCATGATCTTGTATATTTGATGTGTTATGGAATGTTGCGATGTTAAATTAAAGTTTGGTTTTATTGAATTGAATTTTGGTTATTCTCAACCAAGAATCAAAATTAACAATAAATAAATAAAGTTCTTTATTTCATAAAGGTGTGGAAAAGTTTAATTTCATCCTTCGAATTTTAAACAACACATAAATGATTCTTGTGTTTATAGATTTATATGTTTTGATTAAAACCTTATCTTCTCACATTATAATACCTAAATTTCTTAAGAAGAGAGAAAGTCATTAAAAAAGTTTTCGCTTGGCCAAATTTTAGCTATAGAAAAGGCTGAATTTGATATCAATAATCTCAAATTAAAAAGGATAGTTCAATGAGTGTGATTTTTGCCTTCAAACATGCTATAAAATATAGATCAAAATTAGTAAATTTTATTTTAATTTGATTTGATAAGTTTTTAAAGTGATTTCATCTTTATTTTTTAATTACTAACAATGATTGAAAAATACTCTAGTAAATAATATGTTATCTATTAAATCTATTAAAATATATAAAAAAAACAATATAGGCCGTGCACTCTTTTTTTCATATATTTAAAATATGACCAAAAGCGTGGGTGCCAACAACACTTGATTTTTTTTTTATTAATTAAAATTTAATTTTAATTAACACCCTCTCTTTTTTAATTGTTTACTAAATTTTTTAAAATAGTAATTAATATCTTGAATTTTTTTTATAATTTCATAATACTTCAAAGATATTACTATAATTTATTTTTAATTTATTTATTTATTTAAATTTTAAATAAATAAGTTATATTTACATGATGCATTTATAAAAAAAAAAAAACGATCATTTGTACTTAGTAACAAGAATCATTAATGGCTAAGATAAATAAACAAATAGACAAATAGAATTAAAAAAACATTAAAAATAAAATATTTACATATTTTCCAACGAGAGGAAGATCGACTTCTTTGCTTTCTCTTGCATTAAAAATTAAATTAGAACAGCACCCTTAGTATAGGGGGTGGTCTAGTTAGCCTAGTCTATAAAAATCTCGGCTCATACTTGAGGAGAAGTAAGAAACGAAACTTTAGAATATTTGTTGAGGAAACTGTGTCTCAAACTTCCCGTGGAAGGGAAAACGACCGCATCACCTTACACATAAGCCAAGAATGCCATTAGATAGTTAGGTCCGGCGAGCGCATATTTAAAATATCTGGTCCCACCAAAACTGGTATATAATGTGTTCACATGGAGTACTTGCAAGTTCAAGTTCACCTGCCTTCGCTTTCATCAACTAGTGAGGAACCTCAAAGATACGCATTGTTTGAAGCACGTGATTCAAGCTTTGGGAATTGGGATTTACTTGCCCAAAACCTCCTCCACGGTTTCTTCTACAAAAACAGATGTTTTTTATGTGGATATGTAGATGTATATATATAGTGGCACATAATTTTTTTAAAAAATAAAAATTTAAATTAATAAAAAAATATTAAAATACTTTAAAATTATAGGATAGTGATATCCGGAATGACTCGGATCAATCATGATTAACATGCAAGATTTGCGATCTAGGTCATGAAACCACAATAACTTCATATAAAATAAATTAAAAAAATTAAAAACTCAATTCACAAATAATTTAATATTAGAAGATGAAATTGAAAAAAATAAATATTAAAAAATAATAGAAAAAAATGTTTCAGTTAATTTAAGTAAACTAATCGAATTCGTGACTTGAGTCATGAGAATAAAATAATTTTGTATAAATCAAATAAAAAAATATAAAATTCAATTTTTAATTTTCAATAAACCTAATATTAAATAAAAAATAAACAAAAAATTTATTTTTTAAAAAAATGTCAATATAAGGGCTCTAGTCAACCCAAGTAAATCTTTCAAACATGTAACATAGGTTATAAAAATAAGATAACTCTATAAAAAAAAATTAAAAAAAAATTAAAAAGCTCAATTACTAACTAACCAAATATTAAAAGGCGAAACTGTAAAGATAAAAATTCTATTTAAAAACATAACAAAAAAAAACCGAGACAACTTGAACCAACTATCAAACCTACGATCTAAGTTATGAGACTCAGATAACCTCATAAAAAATAAAAAAATATGACAAATCATAATTTCCAATTAACCCAATGGTACTAAACGATGAAATTAAAAAAAAAATATTTTCTTAAAAAGGACAAAAAAATAATTCAAGTCGACTCGAGAAGACCTTTTAAATTTGTGATCTGAGTTATGAGACCAGAATTATTTTATAGAAGAAAAAATTACAAAAATCAATTCCCAACTAATCAAAAGTTGAAGGATAAAATTGAAAAAAAAAATTATTTAGAAAAAAAGGCCCCAGCAACCCATATCAACTTGAAAAATTCATGAATTGGTTCATGAGACTAGGATTACCTTGTAGAAGGTAAAAAAAAAAATTACAAACTTTAATTTCCAATAAACAAAATATTAAATAATAAATTTAAAAAAAATTATAAAAATAATAATAAAAATAATGAATATCAAATTTGAGACATAAAAAGTTTGATAGTCTATTTTAGTCTTACGGAGAGTGCTAAGCATGGAAATCAAGACGAGAAGAGAGAGAAAAATAATGATTTGTTGAAACGAAACAAAAGGCCTCTTTTGACTCGCGTTGAACATGGAGGGTGACCATGATGAGACATGCAAGTTGGATGACACCAAGGAAAGGTAGAATTAGATGCTAAAGGCCGGCAAATATAACACTAAATTGCAGTGGCCTTTGCCATATGTTGACACATGTTATACACGGGCTATAATTTTTTTCAATCATTAAATTAGCAATTTTTGAGTTCATCCCTCAACTTTTTAATTATTTTTGTTAAATAATAATATAAATTATATTTTAAAATCTCATCTAATAACTTAAATTATTAAATTGAAATAATTCTTTGATATTATATCAAAGTCTAAATTACCAAAAGGTTATGAATTTAAATCTTATCATCTCCATTTATTTAATAAAAAATTAAATACAAAATAATGTGGGTATGTATAAGTTTCAAACTCAAATAACTTTTATTTAAGAAGGTATATTAAAAAATAATATAAATTATATATTAAAATATCTAACAACTTAAGCCATTGAAAATTAAGATAATACTTTAATAATTTTAAATTAATTAAATTGTTTTTTTTTTTAACCAAGCACCAATGTAGCATCATATTTTTTCCCAACCCCACAAGAATCTAACATGGAGACAATAAGACAAACAATAAGATCCAATTTTAAATCAATCAACACATGAAAAGAATAAAATTAAAAAAAAAACACAATAATTGGAGATGGTAATCTATAATACTTACGAGTCTTGCACTTTTGTGTTTTTTGGCTACAGGAATTTCACTGCCTCTTTTAATTTCTTTTAAACATAATAATTGTAGTGTATAACGTGAAAACATGTGATGCCTAAGGTCGGCTGCTGCAGCAGATCGACCATACAATACAAACGTGGTATCACTCTCTCCCGCATGTTCTGTACTGATTATTACAGATTGATGGCAACTGCGAACACAAGTTGGCATTCTTGTTTCAGAAACTTGGTGTATTTTTATCAGGCAGCTGAAATCGAGGGATCCTGCAACATGCCTGCATATATGCCAACCTTTTTCATGACATTAATACCTGCATATGATATATGCAGTCTCTCTGGGATTTTATTTTATTTTATTTTTATCCCTTTCATTTTCTGGCTAGTCCCAGAGGAGATGGAGTCATGCACCCATGTTGCTAAAAGATAATATTCTAATAACTTCACTTCAAATTCATGATGCAAGTGTCATAACATGTTATCTATCTAATAATGTATATACATGGATGGATATATAGAGATTGATACAACTTTACCTCATTACTATTTGAATACCGTATAAGAGTTTCTTTGCAAACGTGGCTGGCTTCAAGTTCTTAAACGTTTTGAATTTTTTTTATTTAAATTTTTTTTTAAAAAAATAAAAAATATTACTTAGATATATTTTAAAGTAAAAAATATTTTAAAATATAATAATTATCATAATATCAATATTTTAAAAATTGAATTGAAAAGATTAATGGGATATGTTAACCATAGATTTAATAAATAAACATAGATTTAGAAAAAAAAATATTAATCCATATTATTCAAAAAATATTTATTGAATTTTTTTCATTAAATCTGATACGAAATTATACTAGAAAATAGATAGGTTAAAAATCCAATAGAGAATTAATACGGGTATGTGAATGGCATATGAGCATAGCTGGTGTGGCAGCATATCCTTTGTCCAAGATTTTGCTATCTGGAGCACTCTTCTATTTTATTTTATTTTAAATTTTCAGAATCCTAATTGTAATATTATTATATTGGATTTGGATCCGGTTTTGAGAAGGAAAATAAAATTGGGCCCAAAAATGATGCCCACGCTGCCCGGTTCCACATGGGAAAATATCCCTATATAAACCACCGTTTCCCCTTTTCTTCTCACTCTACACGGCTATTCCAGTTTCTAAAAACGCTAAACAAACATGGAGTGGGTAAGAGGAGGCTGCCTTGGCTATGGCAGTTCATCTACAGTCCATCTTGCAACATCTAAGAATTCATCCTCTACGTATCCCGAAGTGATGGCAGTGAAGTCCTGCAACCAATCGGACACCACCTTGCTCGAGAACGAGAGGGAAGTTTTGAATGAAATTGGCCTCTGTCCACAAATCATCCAATGTTTTGGCGACTGTCAAGCTACTGCAGAAAACAATGAATTCTTATATAATCTGCTGTTGGAGTATGCTAAAGGAGGAAGCTTATCTTACAAGATCAAGAAGTCTGGTGGTTGCTTGCAAGAAGGTGATGTCAAAGACTACACGAGATCGATACTGAAGGGTCTGAGTTGTGTTCACGGAAAGGGATTTGTCCACTGTGACTTGAAGCTTGATAATATATTGTTGTTTGAGAATGGTGAAGTGAAGATTGCAGATTTTGGGCTGGCAAAGAAAACAGGGCAGAAACAGGGGAGAGTGGAAATTAGAGGAACTCCTCTTTATATGGCACCCGAGTCAGTCAACAATAATGAATACGAGTCAGGAGCCGATATCTGGGCTCTTGGGTGTGCCATTGTTGAGATGGTGACAGGGAAACCGCCGTGGAATTGGAAGCCAG